GGTAAGGATTTAAATTCAGGGCTGTATGATTCTACAATCCCTCTTATATTTTGATCAACTTTGAATGACAAAGAGTCCAAGCATGATCTGAATGAGTTAAATTGGGTATAAAAACCTAGAACAAGTTGTTGTCATTTGCTAATATATAGATCTTCAAAATCAATTTATTTACTAACCAAGTTTGTTTATTAAATTATATCTACTACTAGGGAGTAGAATTCTGGAGATTGAAATTGGACCTTTACATATACTAGGCAAGTGCAGTATCACTGAGCCACATTCCCAGCAAAGAATTTTAAGTCATAATCAAAATCCAGTCCTAGACATTGGCCTTCTGCAGCACTGACAGTCTTTTCTTCCAATTTGACATAAGTTAGATAAGCCTATGGTGTATAGTTTAGTGGGTAAAGGGGACTTAGCTGACCCACTTCAGCCAAAGAATCTCAAAAAAAAAAAGACCTGCCAGAGAGCTGGAGATAGAGCTCAACGGTAGAGCACTTGCCAAGCTTGTGTGGGGCTCTAGATTCAATCCTCAGTAGTGCTAACAACAACAAAGATAAAAGTACTAAAATAAGGGGAAAAGGAGAGGAGAGTTATATTGGGACATGGTGAAGGCTGAGTTGGCAGTGAATAGGGAGAACTAAGCCAATGCTACTGCTCACACGAGTGTCATATGCCGTGTGAACAATACACAAAAGTATATTTTCTCTTGTGCTACATCCCCGCGAGGCCAGGAAGGCACAAGTGTTGTGACTCTTGCTATACAGATGAAGAAACTGAGGCTGTAGTAAAGGAAGTGACTAATTTGTTCAAGACCCCACAGTTAGCTGGGAGCCATGTGATACAATGAAGAAGACTTAGGACTTTGGATCACAGAACTGAGTTGTGTCCTGGTTCCCATACTCTAAATAGCTGTTTGAGGTTGGAATATGTTAACGGCTCTGAGTTTGTTTTCTTTGTCTGTAAAATAGAAGTCCTATCAATAGGTCATGAGGAGGATCAAATAACATATCATGCCATCTGTAAACACTTGTACCATATAGATGTGTTTTATTGATCAGCAGGTGAACCTAGTAGGTCTGATTCAGGTATTTAGTGCTCCTGATCATATACCACACTGTGCTTTGGACACTAACTCATTCCTGATCCTTTTCCGGTGTCGGGCCCTCTTCCCTTGCCAGCCCGGAAGCTATTCTCCCTCCCCACTTCTTTAAGAGCTGGTTTACTGATTGCTGGTTGATAACAACCTCCATAGAGAGCCTGGTGTACTTTCAGCCTCTTGGGCCTTCTGACTGCTGGCCAGGATTCCCTCCTTGCCTTCCTGTGTCATTCATTGCTGGACTTTGGGGGGCGGGAGGTCTTTGGGATTTTTTGTTGTTGTTGTTGTTTTTTGAGACGGTTTCTCTGTGTAGCTTTGGGCCTGTCCTGGAACTCCATCTGTAGACCAGGCTGGCCTCAATCTCATAGAGATCTGCCTGCCTCTACTTCAGAGTGTGATAAAAGGCATACACTACTACCTCTGGTTAGGGGTCTTCGTCTTACTGCTGCTTAGTCCCCTTCTTTGTTGATCTGAAGATTTCAGGCCCAGGAGTTTTTTTTTTTTTTTTTGCTGGGAAATGCCAGGACTCAAATAACACAGTGGACACAGCTAATGACCCCTACCCCTGCGGCTTTTTTAAGTTCATATATAAGAAAATAGATTTCATTATGAAGTTTTCCTGTATGTATCATCTTTATCATTATACTCATAGTCGCCCTTCCTCTCTCTACACTGATGTCCTTCCTCTTCCCAAACAGTTCCCCTTCTGCTTTCATGTCTCTCACACACACATTTAACTCTGCTGTATATTTAAATTTAGACTTCACATATGAGAGAAAACATGTAATGTTGTTTTCCTCCTTAAGCCTGTCTTTGGTCTTGCTTTGGGATGGGGTTTTACTGTATATCTTCGACTGGCCTAGAACTCACCAGGTAGACTAGGTTGGTCTCAAACTTACAGTACTCTGTTGCCTGAGTACTAGGATTATAGGTAAACACACCACACACAGCTGTGTATGCGTGTGTGGTTTTGCATGAGTGCTGGTTCCTACAGAGGCCAGAGGCAATGGCTTCCGTAGATCTGGAGTTACAGGCAGTTGTGGAGCTGTTCAAAGTGGGTTCTGGGAATTGAACTCAGATCTTCAAAGCCGTTCCTGCTCTTAACTTCTGAGCCATCTCTCCAGCCCTGTCATAGACCTTTTACCTTATTTCCTGAAAAGAAAAACTGAGACCCAGAGGGGATAAATGCTTCGTGCTTGGCTGCAGTGAGTCAGAGAGCTGAGGTAAAACTTAATCTGGTCTTCTAGTCTGAAGTTCTCTCTACTGCTCTGAGAGTAGTCTGCCCGAATACCCAAAAGTTGAACCCACATGAGTACAAATTAGATGGGAATCCTGTTAAGAGGAACATGAGACATGGCCTCATCACATAACACTATTTCCCTACCAGCTGGTCCTAGAAACTGCAGCCTGGGAGGGGACCTGTGCCAATGTTTGGGTCCATTCCAGCCCCACAACACCAAAGTTCCTTTTCCACTTCCCAACAAGGGGTCTCTCTATCATGACATTGTCTTTAATTTTTGAGGCTTTGGAGCAAATATTGGGAGATCAAACTGGTGAAAGGAGTCCCTATGTAATAGGTGATCTAGCAGATCCTTGCATAGAAGAATAATTAAAAATAGCTAGTATTAATTAACCAGGTGCTGCCCTCAATGTTTTTTTTTTTTTTTTTTTTTTTTTTTTGGTTTTTGGAGACAGGGTTTCTCTGTGGCTTTGGAGGCTGTCCTGGAACTCGCTCGGTAGACCAGGCTGGTCTCGAACTCACAGTGATCCGCCTGCCTCTGCCTCCCGAGTGCTGGGATTAAAGGCGTGCGCCACCAACGCCCGGCACTGCCCTCAATGTTTTAAATGTAATAACCAATCAATACCATGGAGTCGATATTGTCTCCATTTTGCAGGTAAGAAAACTGAGGTTTAGAGGAGTGGTTTGTTCATTGTCATTGCTGGAAATAACAATGGGATTTGATCCTAGGCTGGTACCAGAACTCATATAACGCTGCAGCTTTGCAGCATCTTGCTCAGTACCTCTCCTTGTTTCTAAAGTTTGTCACAATGAGACTTGGGATGAAGTCAGGATAACTGAACAAGAAGTAGTTTTCCTCTGTATATCTTCATCTTTTCTTCTCAATGGTCAAGGAGGTGTTTGCTGAGGCTGTACAGTCTCCTAAATCAAGAACATCCCTTTCATCTCTCCATAGGTTACTTCTTCCAGTGGAGTCCAGAAGAGGGAGGAGGCACTGCCTCCACTCCGGCAGCTTTACACACAATGCAGAGCATCAAGTGTGTGGTGGTGGGTGATGGGGCTGTGGGCAAGACATGCCTCCTCATCTGCTATACGACTAATGCCTTCCCCAAGGAATACATCCCCACTGTGTTCGACAATTACAGTGCCCAGAGTGCAGTTGATGGGCGCACAGTGAACCTGAACCTGTGGGACACTGCGGGCCAGGAGGAATATGACCGCCTCCGCACCCTTTCCTACCCTCAGACCAATGTCTTTGTCATCTGTTTCTCCATTGCCAGTCCACCCTCCTATGAAAATGTGAGGCACAAGTGGCATCCAGAGGTGTGTCACCACTGCCCCGATGTGCCTATCCTCCTGGTGGGCACCAAGAAGGACCTGAGAGCCCAGCCTGATACCCTACGGCGCCTCAAGGAGCAGGGTCAAGCGCCCATCACACCGCAGCAGGGCCAGGCACTGGCCAAGCAGATCCATGCTGTGCGCTACCTCGAGTGCTCAGCACTGCAGCAGGACGGCGTCAAGGAGGTGTTTGCTGAGGCTGTCCGGGCAGTGCTCAACCCAACACCGATAAAGCGTGGGCGGTCCTGCATCCTCTTGTGACCCTGGCACTCAGCTTGGAGCCTACCCCTTGTTCCCTCACCAGTTGTGCCTTGGCGCCTTGTCTGCTCCCAGCTGTGCCTTAAGGACTAATTCCAGGGGACTCCCTGAATGCCTTTTATTCCTTAAGGAGGTATACAGGGAAAGGGGCTTTGGGCCTCACCCCATTCTGCTTGGGAATACCAAGTATTCCATGAGTTCATCTAAGCCAGGTTGACCTTTCCAAGAGGCCAACCCAGTGCTGCCTTCCATTTCCTGCTACTGACCAGTTCATCCAGCTTTCCACAAAGTTGTTGCTGCCTGTTGTGGTGCCTCCTCTCAGGTTAAGGGCTCTAACCTCTGCCTTTGCTCTTGGAGTAGGCTCTCCAAGATATTCTCTCCCTCCCCCAAGGGAGGAGCCACAGAACCCTGAGAAGAAAATTGCCCTAACCTGCCCCATATGCCCAGGCCTTATGCGTCTGCTGACTGACTCAGGCCCCATGCTTCTGGGGGCCTTTCCTACCCCCATCAGCATCAATAAAACCTCCTGTCTCCAGTGGCCCCGGCTCCTCCCTATGTGCTGGGCATTAGCGGGTGGGCATGAGCTAGGGCTCCCCAGAGACTGGGAACCTTTTGTTTCCTCTAAGAGAGGATAGGAGACAGTAGGCTTCATTGTGGTTCTCTACCACCACCCCTCGATTTCCCTAACAAAGCTCTGGGGCCTGGCCACAGATGCCATAGAGGACTAGGATGCAAAGCTTGAGGAAAAGACTTCCTGGTCAAGGCTCCAAAACGGGTGTTGAAATCCATGAGTCTAAAGATGTGCTTTCAGTCATACAATCGAGTTGAAGGCCTCTGCTCCAACTGAAGACTCCTAGCTAGCCCAGCTTCCAGGATGAGTCATTTCAGAGATAGCTCAACCACTTCTGTATGCCAAAATGGAGGCTGAGGCCAGCCTTAGGAAACACCAGGCAGAGGGTAAGGGAGATACTACATGAAAATGAGCTGCTGTAGACTTAATCCCTCCATTCCTTGCCTAAGGTCCCATGTACAAATGAGCCCCAGTAGTAACATACTTAACCCCAATTGTTGGCAAATGAAAAAATTTATTGTTCTTCAAAATAAAATATACAAATAGAAGCTGGGGATCTGGGGCAATGGAGAAAATGAAGGAGAATTGAGGAACCCATTCTGGAGTAGGGAAATCTGGTGACCCCTGCATCCTTGTTGGAGGGAAAGGTCTTACAAGCCTGTGATTTGAGGGGTTGATTTTTTTTTTCTTCTGAGACAAGGTCTTACTGTATAGCCCTGACCTGCCTGGAACTCACTGTGTAGACCAGTCTGGCCTTAAGCTCCCAAATGTCAGCCTGCCTCTGCTGTGCTGGCATTAAAGGCATGTACCACCATGCCTGACACTCCACTTTGGAGACAAGGTCTCAGAGTAGCCCAAGTTGGCCTGGATCTTGAAGCAGTCCACCAGTCTCAGCCTCCAATGTGCTAAGCTTACAGGCACACTTTAGTGTGCCCAAAAAGCCGGTTCTAGATAGGAAGCAAAATACATCCTTGGCTTCTGGGCCAAGTCATCTGTCAAGTCCAGAGCACTACTTCTATCAGATGACCTCAGAGACACCAGCAAAGCCTTCCCCCAGGCTTACACGGGAACACGAGGCTGAAGGGAAGAGCGTACATCTAGAACACCTGCGCAATTCACAGAACTACAGCTGCTCTGGGGTGTGCACAGTAGTCACTAGACACATCAGTCAATGAAGGGTCTAGAGAGAAATATCTTCAAGTAGTGGGCCACTTCTCAGGGGTTCCTGACCTCAGTGAAAAGTGTCATTATAAAGGTCAAAAACTAAATGATGGTCATGAACTTCAGGACTTTTTTTTTTTTTTTTTTTTTAGCACCAATGATGGGGCTTTCCTGCCAGCTCAGTTCTTAGTACCTTTCACTTACTGGTGATGCCTCTTGAAAACCCTGGGAAGGTTGGGGATAAGCCAGCAGTGCTGGGGTCAGCCTTGTCATACCCACTCCTGCTCTTCTCCCTGCTCCCTGCTCAGTCCCCAGCTAGAGAAGGGCCCGGAGAGGACATGGAGATAGGGACGGCCAGAGTGGCTTCTTGCTTCTGGGCAGTAGGTTGCCTCTCCCCAGCATTAGAGAAGGGTGGTTTAGAATCTCTTTTCCTCCGGCTGAGAGGTTATTAGCAGCTCTTTGTTCCCGAAGTCCCACCAGGCTGTCATGTGGAACGCCATGTTGGTTAGGACAACAGTGTACTCCAGGATGGCAAAGATGGTATACACTGTTATGAGGACACAAGGATAGGGTATGATGAACCTCTCGTTTTACCCTCTTAGTGGCTTCTTAAATCAGCACATAACCAGCCCACCACAGAGAACACAATGACAGCCAGGGCCCATGACCACTGCCTACTATAAAATTAAACACCACAGCTGCTCTGAAGTCACTTATGGCCAATTACAGATCCTAGCCTGGCCTCACCTCCAGCCTCACAGTACATGTTGTGCCGGAAATAGACAGCCAGCGCCGAGAAGAAGGAGACGAAGTTGATGATGAAGAGCCGCTGTTTCCAGCTGTAGGACTTGCGATCCTAGAGGATGGACTATCTGATCACTCTGCAGCTTGTTGGGTATTGTGGGCTTCCCTCTTAGACTCGGTTCCTAAAGGCTGGGACTCCCCCCTTGGTTCCCAAAGTGGTCATGGAAGGGAATATAGAAAAGGGCAGCAAAAAACGATGAGCATATCCACAACCCTGCATTTAGGGTGACAATGAAGCCAAGAAATAGTGCTATCTCTTGCCCTTCCCACTTCAGTGGGATGGAATAGGAAAGATGCATGGAGTTCACCAACCCAACACTTTCAGGTGCTGTGGGGCAAAGAAAGGTCGTGTATGTGGGTGAGGGTTATTATAAACCAGTCCACTGACCGTGTTTCTAACCCACTGGGCCTGGCTGCTACCCTTGATTTGGCCCCATTTCCAGCCCCTATGCATTCTCCAGTACTACCCAAATGGTTGACTGGAACAAATCAAACATTCTCCAAGCCTCAGCCCAAAGCCCCCATGCCCTTCTGCTGGCTTCCTAATAGAAAGTCCTTAGTCACCCATCATTACCCACATCCTGAGGACAGATGTCCTTGATCTTCTTCTGGGCTTCCTAGTACCCAGTAGGGATAGACCGTACCTCCTGACTTACTGTGTGCTTCTTGGTCAGCCGCCAGAGAATGCAGGTGAGGAGCATGTAACTGAGGGATGCCGCGATAAACACAATGAAAGCGTTTTCATGGATGGCTGGAGGGAGAAAGGAGGATGGACACCACCCTCACCCTTAGGCAGGAACGAGGGCTGCGCCCCCTTCCCGTGCCCTTCACCCCTCCCTTGTCCGGGCACCCACTGAAGTCCTCGGAGGAGGAGACGTAGGTGAGCACAAGCAGCGCGAGGTTCTCCACCACGTTGAGACTGAAGTTGAGGCGGCAGAGAAGGCGGTAACCGGGACACGGGGATGCACAGCTGAGGTAGTGGTTCCAATAGGCGAAGGCCGTCAGGAAGCGGGGTGCCGAATGCAGGCCAATGCAGAAGCGCCAAACGTAGCGCTGGGGAACCTCCCCACCAATGGCAGAGCTCACTGATGGCAGGTAATTGGGCACCTAGAGATTTAATCCAGGAGTCTAGGCATCCCCTTTGCCGATCCCGCCCACCAGGAAGGCCTTCTTCCTATCAATTCAAGCCCCTCCCTTTTTTTCCAAGTTCTCCTTCTGACACCCTCCCAAGCCTTCCACTTCTAGGTCCCTGGACTTACATGTTCATTCCCTAGTCTGTCTGGGATTTGGACAAGGGTAAGGTTATCTCCAACTTTCTTGAAACGGAACCTACACATTTGAGCAGGTGTACATATGAGTTCAGATTCTCCTTACGCTGAAATCTCAGGGTTGTGCCTCAATAAGGCTCTGTGGGCATCCCAGGCTCCCAGGTTTGGTTCCTGAAGACCAGGATGAGTCACAGACCTTTGGACTTTACTTGGAACAGTGCCACCCTGCTGAGCTGTTCCTGTCACTACTCCCAGTTCCACTCATTCCCCCGGGCAGGTGCAGCAATGTGTGAAGAGGATGCTGTGAGATCCTGAGGGGAGTCAAGAGTTCCAAGTGATCCCTTATTGTAATCAAGTGGTCGCGTTTCAGAAAGTGGGCTCTTCTGCAAGGTAGAAGAGGTGGCAAACTCCTTTAATCTCAGCACATGGGAAGCAGAGGCAGGTAGAACTCTGAGTTCCAGACCAGCCAGGACTACAAAAAAACAAAACAAAACAAAACCTGTCTCAAAAGAAAAAAAAGAAAATGTCCCTGTCCCTGTGCACCAATTCTGTCCATCTTTCTCAGTGCCTGGAACTCCTCGTTTTCTGTGGAGCTGCAGTCTCGCTCTTTAAGCTTGATGAAAGAGAGGAAGGAAACAGTCACAGAGCTGAAGGAGTGCTGTTGTTATCTGTATGACAAGCAAGAGGGTGGGGACAAGTGAGCAGTGGTTTAGATGGGGCTGGGAAAGCCAGGGGCTGGAAGAGGATCTCCTGCAAAGCTGTGCTTTGCAAACTTCAACACACATGGACTCATTTGGGAACTGTGTGGCATTCAGGCTGGGAAGGTGAGAGTGGCTTTTTTTTTTTTTTTTTTTTTTTTTTGGTTTTTCGAGACAGGGTTTCTCTGTGGCTTTGGAGGCTGTCCTGGAACTCCCTTGGTAGTCCAGGCTGGTCTCGAACTTACAGAGATCCACCTGCCTCTGCCTCCCGAGTGCTGGGATTAAAGGCGTGCACCACCAACGCCCGGCTGAGAGTGGCTTTTGTAAAAGATTCCAATACCAGAAGCTGTCAACCCGTTGCCCCACTTTCTACAGACTTTTAGACTCAACAGCCAGGGCAGGGTAGAGCCCAGCAACCCAGCGACCCTGCTCTAGCTACGAAGGGTCCAGTCTTTAGATCTTCAGAAACAGAATTCTGGGAATTCCAATCCTTCCTTTAAAGAAGATGCTGAATGAGCCTCTGGACTGCTGGTTCAGTGGGCAATGCTGGAGGAACCTCCCAGGGCATAGGGTAGGCATCCTGGGACCTCCCAGCCACCACAGCACTGCAAGAGGAAGCTTAGTGCAGAGTTCTCAGAGAAGCTGCTCCAAAAGCTGGGTTCGTGTCCCAGTTGTGTCTTTATCATTAGGTGACTCTGAGCAAGGCTCTCTCTTCATCTCTCTGAGCTCCAATGTCTTCATTCGTAATACAGTTATTGTGTCACCTATCTTATAAGGTGATTTGTTTAATTAAAGACAGAATCTCACTAAGAAGCCCCAGCTGGCCTGGTACTTGCTATGTAGACCAAGTTGGCCTTGAATCACAGAGATCACAGAGATCCATCTGAGAGTGCTGGGATTAAAGGCATTTGCCAGTATACCTGGCTTTGTAGGGAGACAGAGCATCTACAGTGTCAGGCCCACAGTGGGTATAAAAGTGATGGCTTTCAGAAGTCAGGCTTTCATGAAAAGCCTGCACAAAAGGTTGTGAGTCACAGGGCTAATGAGTATAAGAAACCCACTTAGAAGGGAAAGGCAGCACACCAGACATCGAGTGAGACCTCTCGCCTTTACAGCCCCTCTGATGCCCTGAGTTGGGTAGCTGAGTGCAGTCTTCCTATTATATACATTCTGAAGACTACTTCCCAACCTCAGTTTACTTTGTGGGGAATAGGACAAGCAGCTAAAGTCTACTGGGAGAACTGAAGGAAGAGAAGGTTAGTGACTGTGAGGCTGTCTTCACAAACTTCTTTCAGATTAAAAGTGAGGCAGGATTTTAAGAGTAGGGACTGTGTCATCCATCACATACAAACATACACATATAATCATGTAAATATTTCCGCTTCCTTCTCCAGCACATCAAGTTTCCCTAATTTACTAATTGTGCCAACAACAACCTCAGAAAAATATCAGACACCAGATACACACAGTTCATTCCAAATGTCCCCATAAGCCCAGAGCTAAAAGCACTGATGAGCAAAGAGTTCCCTTCTAATAGAGAAGTAGATCAGAAACTCATTGGGGGAAAGTTCTAAGAAATTCCCTAACTAGCGACTTGAAAGATAGCTCAGTAAAATGTTTGTCTTGCAAACATTAGAACTTGAGTTTGCGCCCTAGTCTTCAGGTAGAAGCACAATGGCATGCACTTGTAATTCCAGTGCTGCAGAGGCAAAGATAGGAAGATCCTTGAAGCTCAATGGCCAGCCAGCCTAGCCAAATGAGACTGTCTCAAAAAACAAAGTGGGGGGGGGGGGCTGGAGATGGCTCAGTGGTTAAGAGCACTGGCTGCTCTTCCAGAGGACCCAGGTTCAATTCCCAGCACCCACATGGCAGCTCACAGCTGTCTATAATTCCTGTTCTGGGCGATCTGACAACATCACACAGACATTCAGGGAAAACATCAATGTAAACAAAATGCGAATAAATATATGTAAAAAAAACAAAGTGGATATGAGAGCCCATATCCTCTGACACACACATTCCTTATCAGATTATACCTTTTTATTTATTTATTTTTTGTTTTGTTTTGGTTTTTTGGAGACAGGGTTTATCTGTGTATCTTTGTAGACCAGGCTGGCTTCAAACTCACAGACATCCGCCTGCCTCTGGCTCCCGAGTGCTGGAAGTAAAGGTGTGCACCACCAACCAGCTTCAGATTATACCATTAAAGAATAGTTTTTTGGCCTCAGGGAAAAGTACCCACCCCACACACACATACACACAAACACATATACTAGCTATGAAAGGTTATCTAGGCCAGGAGATATAGCTTCTTGGTGCTGGTCGTCAGTAATAAAAGCCACTAAGCTAGCATTCCCATTGGTCTCCCATTCTTTTTGTTGTTTTGGTTTTGGTTTTTGGAAACAGGGTTTCTTTACATAACTCTGACTGTCTTAGGCCTTGATCTGTAGACCAGGCTGGCTTCCTGCCTCTGCCCCGGGAGTGCTGGGAATAAAGGCATATGCCAGTATCGCCTGGCAGTCTCCCTATTCTTAATCCCTAGTATTTCTCCATTCAGAAGCTGGAAGGAAATTATAAAGCACAACCCTGATCATGTCTCTTTCTGCTTAAAATCTTTCTAAAGCTCCCATTACCCTCAGGATAAAATCCACAGTTGTTAGCCTGGTATTCACAATGATCCCCTCTCGCCTCCACACATTGCAGCAACAAAGTTCCCTCCTTCAGAAAAGAAATTGTCTCCAGTATCCAAGCCAGGGTAAATGTCTCCTCTGAGCCCTGTAGTCCATGCATCCCCTTTTATCACAATAAGAATCCCAATTCAATGGCAAGAGATGGCTCAGTGGTTAAGAGAGCTTGCTGCCTTCCCAAAAGACCCCAGTTCGGTTCCCAGCACCCACCTCAGGCAGCTCAGTTACCTTTAACTTCTGCTCCAGGCGACCTGATGCTCTCTTCTGGCCTCCATAAGTACCCACATTTATGTGCACATACCCACCCACACACACACACATAAAAATAAATAAAAATAAAATCCTAAAAAAAAATTCCAACTCACTATATTGTAACCATGTCTAAGGATAGTCTCTTGTGTGAACAGATGCTAAGAGCAAGTGTATACTCATCTCCATGCCTCTGACACACAACTTATATTCCTGGTTCCTCAGAAAAGACCAAGTAGATTGATCTAGGAAGCAGGAAGTCCATCGTGGTTTCTAGCTACCCTGAGTGGACACAGGTGTTGGGACCTAGGACTGCCAGTAGAAACCAAGCTAGGAGATCTCAGAACAGGAATCATTCCCTAATCTGAGCTAAAACTGCTTGTTACTTATCCTGACTCCTAGACTCTTACACATCCTTAGTCCCTAGCTTCCTCTAACCTAGTTTTCCTTTACTATCTTTCTCCTTTTCCTGCCCAATCCTGCCCAGCCCCAATCCCTCCCCTCCCCCACATGCCCTCACTATGCTCGTCCCAAATCTTGTACTTTCTGTCTTAGAGGTGGCAGTGACTCTACTCTTGGAGTTCCTGCCTCTAACTTCTCCATAAACTCTGGCTTGTCCCACGCCCACCCCTTTTGTCACTTTCCTCTCTCTGACCTTCCACTTTTCCCCTCGGTCCCTGATTCTTCCTTTGGCACTGCCTCATAACTTGCCCCGGGTGCTGGGAAGCCTGGAACTCACCCCGCAGTCAGTGGCCACCGTGTACTCAAAGTGGAACACCAGAGACCAGATGATGCAGAAGAAGAAGCCGAACAGGGGAAAAGTGATGACCCACCAGACAAAGGCTGTGAAGCGGAGCCGGAACACGGTCCCATCGGGGTCCAAGGGCGTAGAGAACATGCTGTAAGGAGTGGGCAGCGCAAGGCAAGGGATACAACTTGGGGCCTGCTAGGATACCTGGGCCTGGGAAAGTGGAGCCTTTTCCAGAGCTGGTATAAGGAAAGAAGGACAGAAAACAAAGAGATGGGACAGGAGTAGCAGACAGACAGGGGCAGCGCTTAGGAACCATGGCGCCCTGATACTCTAGACAACAAGAGGATCCCAGCGGCCTGAACACTTCATAACCACTACCCTCAACTGGGAAGGATCAGAAGTGGAAAAGTTATTATTCCCATTACACAGAGGAGACAAAGGCCCAGAACTATGCCAGGATCAAGTACCTGGTCTAAAGCCTTTGCTACCTAGCAGCTTAAGGCTCTAAATTAAGGACCCTTGGTTCCGACCAGCTAAGCCCTCCCACTGACCCTGTCTGATCACATTCCTCCTTCTCACCCATGTTCAACTAGGAATAATGAGTGTCCTAGGCCCATTTCAGTAGAACTACAAGTTACCAGCCATTCCACCCCCAGGGTCTGAACACCCCACAGAACAGCAGCATTCTGATCCTGTGGAGGACCAAATGTCCATTCCTTTCCCCTCCGAGAGGCCTAGCTTATCCAATCTCAAATATGGAGGAATATTAGGGTCTTCTGAACCTTCTCCCTTCAGCTTCAACTTAATGTACTGAGTCAAACCCAGGAAGCCTCCACCCAGGTTAAGCACAAGCCCAGAAAACTGGCCTTTTCCTACTCGTTTTCCCCTCCTGGCACAGAAGTCCCTCCCCACAGCCCCTTTGGCCCTGATCACCATGGCTCTTCCAGCTGGGCTCCCTTTCGGGGTAAGCTGGGGCAATTAGAGATGGCTTTGGATTAAAAGGCCTAGGCCCAAATCTTTCCTTGGATCCCATACTTCCTCCCATTAAGTGGACCCTAGTCTACCAGACTAGCTCTTCATCAGGAATGGGGTGGAATGGGAGGCTGATCAAGAAACACTTACACTGGGTGCTGAAGAATCCTGGGCTGGGATTGAGGGCTCCAGCCAGACTGAAACTGCTTCAGACCAGAGGGTCACACCCCCAGGTCCTCAGGGCCTGCCCTCCGCCCACAAGCCAAGTTCTCCACGCCTGCCCAGGCACACAGCCTTCTCAGAATCAGCAAGGCCACCTCATAAATCCCAGAACACTGTGCCAACTGTAAGAAGTGATAGCGACTAAGGTCAGCCCACTAGCTTCTTTGCCAAGCATGGAGGTGGAGATCTTTCTAAATATTATGTCTAGGGGAAACAAGTGCATTTCTAGAAAGGGAAAAAGAGAAAGAATTGGATCTGACTCTTTTTGATTGAAACATGACTGGGAATACTTTTTTAGCTCACTAAGAGAGCTGACTACTCCTGCATTAAAAGAATCAAGGGGCCAGAGACATGGCTGAAGGGTAAACGCACTTCTCAGCAGCCTGATGACCTGTAGATCCCCAGAACTCATATAAAGGTAGAAGAAGATAATTGACCTCAAAGTTATTCTGACTTACTTACGTGTGCCATGGGACATGTATGCATGACATGTGCTTGAGCACACACATAGACAGCAAACAGAATAGAATCAGGTCAAAATTCTAGAATATGAGGTATCAGTGTCCAGCCTGTATTTGTACAGAAATAGCTAATGGTAGCTTGGGCTACATCAGCAGAAATAGGGATGAACAGTATTGCTTGTGCCTGTATTGCCCAGGTCAGCTGACGTCCTGCTATCCAGATCTGGGCCCAATACAGTTACCAAATGGACCGAGTCCAAGGACATATTTAGGGTTATAAAGATCCTATATACCCTATCCTGGGAAGGTTAACTGCAAAAATTATAGCTATGCTACCAGGACAGATTTAGAGGTCTCCATTACTGTCTTCTCATCTCTGCAGGACTGAAGAAAATCCAGGAGGAGAGCATAGCTCTATGGTTATCACAACAGAGCCAAGGCCAGGGTAGACAGTTGGGGGAAAAAATCTGTAGTGCATGCCTTTAATCCCATCACTTGGGAAGATGAGGCAAATGGATCTCTTTGAGTTCAAGGCCACCTAGTTGTACATAGCAAGTTCTAGGGCATCCAGAACTATATAGTGAGACCCTGTCTCAAAAAAAAAATTAACCTCCTCCAAATCTATGCTTATTATAAAAAAGAGTGCATTGTTAGCTACTAAACTGCTGTAGAACAGGTTACCTATAGAAGGGAGCTCCCTGTTACTTGGGATGTATAAGCAGAGGTGACATCATTAATGATGGTATGTTATGCTAGGTTACTTATTGTAATCCTAGGGTTGTTCCTTCCTGGAATATTCTGGATAGGAAATTTAAAACATGAATGAAAAGCTTCAATTGTATCCAACAGAAGAGTCCCAAGGAATGGGGATGAAATATTCCCAAGGTACTAGTCACGCAACTACTCATGCTTTAGTTCCCTAACTGGTATGCCAAGAGTGGGTAGTAGGTATCAGGTAGGCTGAGGTCATTGGTCCCGTTAGCCCTCAGGGCCAGCTAGAAGGGCATAGCAAACAGCCTACTCTGTTGAACATATAAACTGTAAAACCTTTTTAATTTTGTTTGGACTATCTGCCTTTTCCAGGGCACCAGACTGGGGAGTCCTATCTATTTACTCAACAAATACTTTCTGACTCAGTGCAGTGCTTGCTCTCATGGAGATTCCAGTATGGTGAAGAAGACAGATACAGATATAGAACAAGAGAAATGTTGCAATAACACCAATAATAGTAGGCACTTAGAAGAGGGAATTAAGTTTGCCTCAAAGAGGTGAGGCAAGGTGTTCCAGAGTTGGAAACACCTTGGAAAGAATTTTCAGGATGGACAAGAGTAGGTAATGGGAACACATGCTGCATTATCTTAGGTAAAGATCTTAGATCACCTAGCTCAGTGGTTCTCAACCTTCCTTATGTTTTTTGTTTTTGTTTTTGTTTTTGTTTTTTTGTTTTTTCGAGACAGGGTTTCTCTGTGGCTTTGGAGGCTGTCCTGGAACTCCCTTGGTAGTCCAGACTGGTCTCAAACTCACAGAGATCCGCCTGCCTCTGCCTCCCGAGTGCTGGGATTAAAGGCGTGTGCCACCACCGCCCGGCCAACCTTCATTATGATATGGTGACCCCCAGCCATAAAATTATTTTGTTGTTGCTTCATAACTGTAATTTTGCTACTGTTATGAATAATAATGTAAATATCTGATATGCAGAATATCTGATTTTTGACCCCAGGGGGTCACGACCCACAGGTTGAGAACTACTAACCTAGCTTCTCTCTTTTCTCCTAGTCCTGTTCCTTCTATTTACTTATTTTACTTATTTAGGGTTTCACTCTTTAACCCAGGTTGACCTCGATTTCAAGTGAGTCCTCCTGTTGCAGCCTCCCTACGGCTGGGATTACAGGCATGAGCCACTACCTATGGCTTCCTTATCCCTGATTCCTTCTCTGCTCTGATCTCCCTCATCAGGTTGTGTACACTCAATCAAAGCTCATGGCTACAAGTCAGAAAAAAGTTTTTCAAGTCATACTCAACAAAGGAAGTGAGCCCTTAACCCAAACTCCCAGACAGGATCATCTGCTAGACCTAGACCTATGGAGCTGAGTGAGGATCATATGAAGGAAGCTAGCAGGGGCCGTCAGAGCTCTCTCTAAGGCTAGTTAAGTTCCATATTTAGGCTTTGCCTCACCTGGGGTCCTGCCTCTGTATCTCCTGACCCACCTCCTAACCTTAGGATCTCTTATTCCTTCTCATTCTCTTTCTCCTCCTGTTTGGCACTCCCCAACCCACCTTCCCATGCTTTCTCTACCTGGAGCTCTATACTAGCCTTGAAAAGAGCAGGGCTGGCATTATCAACTTCTCTATACACACAGAAACTGAAGCTCACTGGGTCTCAGGTAGCACTGTCGCTCAGAGAATGAGGAGTATAACAGATGTCAACAGTCTTACCCCATTCATTCTGATATTTGGTGGAGAAAGAAACTCTCAAATCTCTCTTCATAGTTCAAGCACTCTCAGAGTGCATTGGACTAACCCTAGAACACACATTCATGCCCAGAACTAGGTCTGTTCTGTGCACAGAGAGTTTCTCTCACACACACAACCCTACTTGAAGCCATTAAATATAGGCATGTCCCTCACAATCACAAACAGACACATACATGCACAAAATCGCATTCCCGCAAACACAGGCACAAGCCCACAGTAACACATTGTAAGACCTACACTCTCATCTATACTAGCCCTATCCTCACCTCACCCTCCAGGAAACCTTGGAGCTCCTGAATCTGCTCCTCTATGAAGGACTCTAGGTTTTTATGTCTTTGTTTCTAAGGCAGAGTCCTTCTATATAAACCTGGCTCGATCAGCAGTAAGGAAATGTAGGGTGCACAAAAAAACCATATATTTCAACTCTGACTTTATTGATCCCTTTCTTTCTTGAACTCATTATGTAGATCGGGCTGGCCTCAGAGATCCATCCACCTGCCTGTGCCTCCAAAGTGCTGGGATTAAAGGCATGAACCTCTAGACCTGCCCCAGGTTCTGGGTTTGGGGACTGAGCAACTTTAGTGACTCCAGTTCCTAGAATCTTTATGGAAAGTATAAGGAGCCTAATTCATGAGACTTCAATTTATAAGTAACCCACCACCACCCAGTAGCAGAGTATATTTGATGGAGACTACAGGAGAACTGGCTAATTCTGTTAATACCAAATCAGGATCTCAGAAAGGGCCCAGATGGGTCTGAATATGAGCCACCGGTACCCTCCAAGCCATACCCCACAATGTGTAGATGTTGTCTCCTTGAAGTGGAAGAGCAGGGACCAAAGGATGCAGAACAGAAAGGCGACGAGTGGACAGCAGACCGTGACTAGGGCCACCATGGTGAAGCGGAGCCGAAATAGGGTCCCATCCCGGTCCAGCGTCAGTGGAACTTGGTACATCTTGTCAGACCTGAAGATGGAGGGCATGTTGTCAGGGTCCCAGGCAGCAGGGTTGAGGGCTCAGTGGTAATGCTCGCGCTCATGCTCAATCCAGAACTTAGCTATGCTACAGCATTGAGAGTGTGAGGAGACTCCTAAACTTTTACAGTTCCTGTCCTGGATAAGAAAGACTGGCTTAGAATCCCAAGGCAACACTCAACTTCAGTTTCTGAGGGAAAACAATGAACTTCATCTATGCTAAGATAAAGCTTGAAACAGGCTGCACAGTTTCCTCGAGCTTCTGCCTGTCCAGACAGACCTGAGACTACAGGAGTTTATTTAGCTAGTCTCTCATTGGTTCAAGAACCAAACTTAAAAACAACTGGTAAACAGACTGGCCCATGTCCCCCCATTCTCACCCCTCCCCCAAGCCTCTTGGTTCATGGCCTATCAGTCCTCACTGCTTCACTCACCAGTGCAGGGCCCTACTGCCCTGTCAGGACTTCCCAGACTCTGGAGTGCTATATGCAGGCACAGCATTCCAGTGCAACAGGGACTCCATGGAAGCTGACAGAACCTCTGTCCCACGATTGTCCCTGCCTGCTGCCTCACGTGCTCTAAGGATGAAAGGTTTTGCAGAATCAGGCCTGGTAAGAGCCTGGGCTTGCTGTGTGCAGGTCAGAGCTGCCTGGTCAGCTTCTGGTGGCTTCCCAGTGCCTCCTGAGAGGAGGTGAAGGTTCCTGAAAACTGATTTTTCCCACAGACAAGATTGCCAGGCAGTGGTGGCTCACACCTTTAGTCCCAGCATTTGGGAGGCAGAGGCAAGCAGACCTCTGTGATTTCAAGGCCAGCCCAGTCTACATGGCAAGTTCTAGGACAGCCAGGGCTCTGTCACACAGAGAAGCCCTGTTTCAAGAAACAAAGAAGCACATGCCTTTAATCCCAGCACTCGGGAGGCAGAGGCAGGCAAAACTCTGTGAGTTTGAAACCAGCCTGGTCTACAAACCAAGCTCCAGGACAGGTTCCAAAGCAATACAGAAAAACCCTGTCTCCAGAAAAAAAAAAGAAAGAAAGAATGTCTAAGGCGAGGCACTATAATAGTTAAAGTACACACTGACAACCCTAGCCCAACCCTTCCAGATGTATACAAGGGTAACTGAAGCAGGTTTCTACTCAGGATCACCAGTGAGGAAAGGTAGGGTCCACAACTCTGACTTCCTTCATCCCTCTCTCTCTGGACCAAAACTCTAGACAGGAAGGTCAGATTAGGACAGGAGTGAGCAAAAGACAAAAGAAAACAAATATGTGGAACATGGTGGTGCACGCCTTTAATCCCAGCACTTGGGAGGCAAAGGCGGGTGGGTCAGCCTGGTCTACAGAGCAAGTTCAAGGTCAGCCAGGGCTACACAGAGAAATCCCATCTCAAAAAACAAAAAAGAAAAAGAAAACAAACACTACATATAGATGAGTCAATCTGCCTGTTCCCATTGTAAAGATGGAGAAACCAAGAGGCAGAGAATCTCTTCTTCAAGGCTGAACCTGAGGAACAGTCATTCCCAGAGCCAAGCTACAGTTGGCTCTAGATACATAAAAAACCGGCCCTTCTGGTCTCAAGCCATGACTCTTTCTGGCCCCACCCTTAAACAGAACTCTGAGCTCAGGCTGGCCTCCCAGCATTTCTGAAACAGGTGGACACATTTTCATCTATGTTCCCAACCAGCTCTCTGCCAGTCTAGACCAGACTGTCCAGCCCAAGCTTTCACATCCTTCCTTCCCTTTGGGGCAACACATATTTGGTCAGGCATCTCCCCAGGAAGTTGGAAGTGGCATTGATGACCCTCCTACATCCAACCCATTCTCTGAATGGGGCCCTAGATGGGAGTGCTTTCCCAACCCAGTCCATACCTAGACTGCATTTGAAGTAGATTTAACCAGTCCTCCTCCTAATCCCCTGGAAACCTTTGGGCTCCTCTAACAGAAGACCAGATCTTCAGGTTGATCAGACCTTACCCCAGGACGGGAAGATAAGTTGGCTCAGGAACAGTTTCGGGAACAGAAAGGATAGTTGTTCCACTTCTTGGCTGTGTGCCTGGCTCCCTTTTAGGTGTGTGACTCTGAACAAGTCACCTAACCATCCTGG